ACTAATAGAGTAAATATGGTAATGTACGTGTGCACTAAATTACATACCATGGAGGATGCACTGAGAGAGAGACACAATTCGTAGTGGATGAGGGAAAATAGGATGCTGTATAGAATTGAATTATTTTGTTTACAGTTAATTATAAATTTAGTTAAGGTATACACTAATGACATTAGTCTCAAAATAATAATAATGTCTGTCTGCATGTTCATTATGGAGTGTGGTTAATATACAAATGCGATCAATGGAATTGCTGTATAAATATTGATGCAAAACTATGATATGGTAGCTTGCACTATTCAATTTTCTAACTCTGAAAACTGAAGTTGTTCTCTGTGTAAGAATAGTAAGATTTCAGTTGAACATCAGGTATATAAAGTGTACAAGAAAGACACTGATTATGTATGCGTCTAAATGATATCAATTAACATGTCCTATATATTAGTCGTGTTAGCAATCTTACAAGGTGGCAACACAAATCACGAGATTGACTGCTCTTTCAGTGATCACATTCAGCGACTCTAGGAAAAATGACTATATGTACTTTACCTAATTAAATTCAATACACTGCCATAGTTTAAATATTCGTAATTAAATTACTTCTCTTTAGTGTTCTTGATCTCTCACCATTTTGATTTCATTTTCTTGCAAGTAAATTGATCAGCTTAATCCTGATATTGGATTTGATCAGCTAAGTTTTTAAAGACATTAAGATTAAGTTGTACTCGGATATCGGTCGGCAGATTTCAAAGTATACGCGACATGTAGGACACTCTTACAAATGAAATGTTGATGATTTTGGCTGGATCTGTATATCGATACTAATTTAACCGGCGCTGGAATGTAATCAGTGTCATTGTTGCGATCATTGAAGCGTTACAATTACACATGCAATATCATTTTGTAAATTTGTTAAGTCAACATGTCCAATAAATAAAGTTCAATTAAGCAATCCTGGAACTCACTATCGATTTTGGCAGATTTGTGTTAATGCATGGATACGGCTAACACTGAATATTTTAATGTGAGCATTTGAAAAACTGCTTCTGCTATGATTTGAGGAATTTTTTTCTTGGTACTGGAGAGTTGATAAATTTCAAGTTGCTGTATTAGTTTTGTAATTTCACCACCATATTCAGCATGTCATTTAATTGGTTTAATATTTGAATTTTAAAATCATATTTGTACTATTATTTAATATATGCATATTAAAATTGGATTAATTTTAATTAGTCAGTGTAGTTCACATGTGAGCTGGGATGATACATTTTTTATGCACGTCCATATTTTGTACAGCATGTTTGTTGATATAACCAGTTTGTTGAAAAGCAACACAGAGAATAAATTCATGATCTAATTCGGAATCGAATTACGATGACTGAGGCAGTCTATTTGATTCCCCGTGTGTTGTGGTAAAAATTCTTGATGAAAAACATGTGATTAGATTGCGATAAATGACACAAGCGTGATAATTGGGTAATGCAAATGTGATAAATGCACAAGGAAAGGGGTTGAGCAAATGTTGTACACTGTTCATTTCTTTATCGATACATTCTGCCATAATATATAAATATTTGATATGTTTTCTAATCCAGACATAAATAGCTTTACATAAACGTTTCGTTGAACATTTGAAAAGACTTGATATTAAAAAGTTGCCTGGATAATTTTGTACGTACGCTGACGTACTGGCCTTTTTTTCTTATCTCATATAAATCATCACATCACCATAATACCTAGGTGGAAATTGTAGTGCTCACCTTAGTTTTTGTGGAATATTGTAGAACATATTAACACTGTCAACAACATCCGTCCACATCTGTGTTGTCACTATATTCTATGGTTTAGTAGAGAGAATTTTATTCAAATGGTGAAATCTGTCCTTTTATAATTGTCCACAACACAATTGTTGTAACAGGTGATACTCGACTTGCAAACAATAGCTTTGTGAATGGAGTTCATGACTGGGTTCATACATGGTATTTACGACAAGGTTTCTGATGTCTGACTGCCATTTCCATAACAACTGTTGTTGATACACAAAATCGCTGTAAAGCTGTGCAGTGGAATTTCCCAAACCACTCTAGAGTTTTACAGGAACCACTGTAAAGATTCACATGGTGACGTTTACAAAATCACTGTAGTTTTACAGTGACTTCTCCCAAACCACTGTTATTGACTTTTCTGAAACCCCTATATAAGTTTGCACGGTGACTTCTCCAAAACCACTGTACAGTTTTACAGTGACTTCTCCAAAACTACTGTATAGATTCACAGTGA